CTTGGGCCTTTTCGGCGAGGGTGAATAGGCATTAGAGTTGTCGACTTCATCGTTACGTTACGCACTTATTTTTCAATACAAAAAATACATAGCCCTCTACGCAGAGCGTGCATCACCCCCCTGGAGTCTTCAGCATACCCAGGAGGGTGCCAAGATTCTTGGAGGAGCTTGGCTTGGTGGCACGATTACCGTTTTATGTTACTGTTTTGTGTTGTATGTTGAATAAATGTATTGAAATGTATATTTATAAAGAGCAAGCCGTAGGATTGCTTGCTCATTATTCTCAAGGGAATCTGCCCTACGAATGAGCAGTAGAGTTTAATCGATATGTTGCAGTTAGCTCAGAGCTTTAAATCACATAGATCTGAGGTGCCAAGTTGTCCCAAGTGCCTGTAATTTCACCAGCACCCCCACCCTTCAAAACTGGAAAGCAGTAATGCCCACATAACTGCTTGGCGGTAGTAATACGTAATGCTGCAGTACTTCCCTGGACTTTCACAAGGAGCTCTACTGCTACTAAATCTATATCTGGTTGGATTCTGTTAAATGTTTTTTGATGTACCTTTTGTTTTAATGGGGCTGACAAGTTCAATAATGATCAAAGCGTTGAATAAAAAAAGATTTAATAAAGCTTATAACTGCCTCCGTGGCCGAACGGTTACCATACCGGACTGCCACGCAGAGGTCTCCGGGTTCGATTCCCGGGCCGGGAGAAATATTTGTATGGCCTATATTTATTTCTCTCGTGAGTTTGGGTGTAAATTTGTGGTTGTCTATGTGTGTGGCCATGGCACCCGCGACACAGGGTTTCCCTAGTGCGGGGCTATGTTGAGTGTGTGCGTTATTATTATTATTATTTTATTTTTTCATTTCTCATGCTCTTAAAGTTCGTATTTATGCTGGGTGTAGGCTACATAAAATAGGATTTTATGCTCTAGTGCATAAAATAAAATCGTTGCTTAAGACAGAGGCAATGACGCCTGCGCCAACAGCCACGCACACTAGAACTTTATAAAATAAAAGCATCTCAAGTTCATAATAAAATACAAAGTAATGATCACTGAATATGTTGTTTATTTGTAATATTGCTGTTTAATTTCCTCGCAATTGAAGAAAAGCAGAGTGTATAACTCGTTAACAAAACTCGACTTAAGTATCCACCTCCTCCACATCACACATTCACCACTGGATATACTCGTCTTGGGTAAAATGACGCGTTTTATGCACTTGTTGTACGATCTACTATTGTTAATGTGTACAAATTTACAAAGAGGTAAAATTCTAGGGGTAGAGTTTCTTACTCATTCTTCTCAGGGAAATCTGCCTTACAAATATAGTAAAGTAAAAAATAGTACAGTAAAAATAATATGATTAAACTCTACTGCGTACCTTTGAAATATACAATTTTGACTCTACATTTTATGTCTAATATTTCAACTAAATCACTTGAATATAAGGTAAAGAAATAAATGTAAAAAAAAATGTTTTATATATGGTTGCACATATTTATTAGCAGCTCCGAGCAGAATTAAAAAATGAACCCAATACGAAAAAAGAAGACTTTCAAAAAGAGTTTACTTACCGAACTAAAATAGAGAGACATTTATCTATGGGATTTGATTTAAGATGAAGAAATAGATAGAGGGGACAAAAATTGACTAAGTCGTACCTACCAGACCTAAATCTACCAGATTTTACTGAAGATGAATATGAAAATATAACATTTTCAGAAATTGTATTAATGATTTATACTAATAATAATAAATATGCTAATGATGATAATTTATACTAAGGAAGTTATAAGCAAGGGTTTACTAAACATTTGTTTACTGGTGTAGGTCATATTTTTTTATTTATAAAAAGTTATAATTATTATTAAACATGATTTAGAATCATCTGGGACTCAAAGGTAGTAGTCTAACCAAAATAGTTGCATTAAGTTCTCCTCTATAGTACTTTTTAATATTTATAGAAAAATAATTATCACTTCAAAATTGAAATTTTGCACATGCAAGGTTTAATCAAAGTTGTGTAGTTTCAAATGTTGAATCGATGTTTAGGGCTGTTTTTTATTTTGAGAAACAAATCGAAAGTAAAAATATTTGAAAATGTTGGGTGTCCAATTAAAGCTTGTAAAAGCTAAAAATAATACTTTTACAAACTAAGAAGTGACTAGGTAAAGATTTATTTACTGGACTAGATCAGTAACTCTCCACTGAAGACAAGGCAGTATGGTCTTTGACTCTAGCCTGTCCTTTTCGGACGAATGGGAAAAAAAGAATAAAGAAATTTGAAAGTCAGTATTTGCGGTTCTTGGAACTGTCAACGAAAAAGAGATATCTTTTGTCTTCAGGCTCATCTAAGCTAATATCTCATCTAAGCGTAATTATCATACCAGCACCGAAATTATATCAAGAATATATTGTTTACATGTTATACATAAGTGTACGTTTGTATTATCTATCACCGAATACTAACTCTGATACATCCACACCGTGTGTTGATGTGGCTTACATTGTGCCGTCGAAATAAAAATAGAATATTATTTTTACCTTCAAGTAGGGGGTCACTTGTTACTCGCACGACGATAATCCATAACAAAAACTCACGAGAAACTTTATATAACACATTTACACACAAAACTTTGACAAAAATATTAAATTTTAATAAAAACTTTGGATAATTTCTTTTTCATAAAAATAAAAAAAAATTGGAAGGTTGCAGTGGAAATATTATAATCGTAAGTATTTAAGTTGCAAGCAAAAAAATTGAACCACGAAATCGAACTTTAATTGATGCACCCGACACAGGATGTGGAAAGAAAACAAATTTTATAATGTTCAATGAACTACGAGCTTACAAAAAATCCGCAATGCACATTTTACTACGACACATATCTGTTTCTAACTCACATAAACACAATTAGTCACCACTTTGTACAGTTTTATATGCTAAAATAGTTGATTTTCAAACGTGAATTCGATAATTTGATTATTTATTTGAACAGCAAGACGATACGACCGTCCAGAGTCAACAACCGTTTGACAGGAAAAAAATTGCCTAACGCGACGCCATTGTCTAATAGTGTGGCCATTTTAAGTGTTAATATCTCCCAAACTCTCTTCTAGCAGTTTATACAAAACTCACTAGATGGCGTTTATTGCTTAAAAAAAATGTCTTGGCTATTCGCGATCGTCGTTTCAGCCACGAAAAGGTTTTTGTTGTCTTTAAAATGGGGAATCTTATAGCATATAAAGAAAATTTGGAAATAGGATTAGAAAGAGGTAGACGGAGAGATAAAGAGATCAAAGGTTTAATATAATAATAGGAGTAATATTGTATATATACTTATACAACACCTAAATGTTTATAGTATTTTCTAAAATAAATAGATTACTTTCAAAGGACATGGATGAAGATTCTGTCAAGAAAAGTCGAATTACAAATCGGCTACGAGCTAGCTAACACGACGAACGTGTTTGCCAATTACTAGTGGATTTGCACATCCAGCAACAGTAAGAGAAAACAGCGATTAAAAAGCAACGGATGGCATGTTAACTTACATTAACATTAGCGGTGAACATATTCGTTATCTCTGCACCTTCATGTTCGCCAATGTATGTCGCACGCCCCTACAATTTTTTTTATTGATATCTTAAATGCAAATAACGTCAAACAAAAAAATTAAATAAAACATGGTTGGAATGTATGTATATTCTTGACAAATTACGTGGCATTGTGTTAAACCAAATTGTGGGTTTTACAGAGAAAAAGAGTCTCATTTCAACATAGGTAATTGAGCAGCGCTCTTCCGACAAAAGTACTAATAATAACAATAAATAAAATCTTCAAAAATATAACAATCTAAACAAAATAGAAAATAATTCATATAAAAACAAATATTAATACGAATAAAATTTTTACAAACAATATAATAAAATAAATAAAGATAAAAACGAAAAATTAAATGTATGTTTATTATAAAATAAAGTGTTATAATCAATGTTAACCACTAGCATTCTTAAAATAGCTTAAAAAAAATGTAAAATACATTATGTCTACATTATAGTATCACGTAAATGTAATACGTGTCCAACAATTGTCCATCACATACATCATATAATATTAAAGTCACTAAAACTCAAAACACTATATAATATCATCATATAAAACATCAATAACACAGTACAACGTCCACAAACGTGAATTGTTTGACAAAGAAAAACTTTCCCGTCAAAATACACCGGTACCATCATAACTAAAATAACATTAGCTAATTGCCTGTTGCCAATGCTCAATAAATAACATTTAAAAAAACCATATGTCAGGTTTGAATAAAGTAGCCTCGGAAGGACTTGCAATAACAGATATCGCTTAGGACAAGTAGATATTGCAGGGATCGGAATAGGTAGTTTTTTTACCTAAAATTCAAGGAAACATAGACAATAAACGGAGACTGCCTTACGACAATATTTTTAAGGTCCTGGACCTGTTTGGGATTCGGGAAATAACTTAAGTACACTATATTTAACTAAGCGACACAGTGGGTCAGATCAGCGATATTGCGGACATTGGATTTTTCACGTTACCTCTCTAAAAAAATGCCAATCGAGAGATCCTATTGTCCTAATTAAATATTGTCATATCGCATATTGTCATAAATGTAATAGTTTAGTAGGAAAAAAAATAAAATGTGTATATTTTGTATGGGACCATACCTTTAGTGCCCTATCGTTACAAAGTCTAATCTAAATCGATCCAGTCTTGGAATCACTACAGACGTATTATTAGACCTATCTTCTATAGATTTGCACACTAAACGCGCGCCCTAACCTGTCTATTCACTACTTATATTGCACATTTTCTGACGCGTATAAATGTAGTGTACCTGCCTGTCCCCAATTACGTCAATTTTTAATGTTCTTAAGTGATTTCTCGAATCCCGAAAAGGTGCAAGACCTAATAAATATTGTCGTAAGGCAGTCTCCATTTTCTGTTTATGTTCCTCGAAGTTTAGGTGAAAAACTCTACCTATTCCGATACCTGATAGTATAATTTATTTGACCGTCTTGCCCGTTTTTGCCCGTAATTTACTGTAGTTTCTACTAAGATCAATGTTTAAGAAATGTACCAATTCAAAGTTAACGTCCAAAATATCCGCTAAAACTCTGTCTGGCTGATTGTTCCAAATTCTACCGTCATGTGGCGCTAGTAGTCTACTTGCAAGTTCCTTTTTAAAACTTTCCATCTGTCGTTGTTTTGTCCAATGTATGCCTCATTTTACAGTCTACTTTGACCTTTTTCTTTTCCTCAATAATGTTTCTTTTAATATGATAAATTGGTTGTGCATACCCAAAATCTAATTCACAGTAATATAAGTGTTTATTTCTATCAGCCGGGTTAGGGTAGTATGCTGCGTACAAGATCTCGTCGACTTCGTATAACTGTATGTCGAGTGTGTGTTGAAACAATACACCACTTAGGAGCATTCTTTCGATCACTAAACAAGTTGAGTGTGTTATTTTGTTGCCCCATAAGTTCAAAAACCTCAAAAAATAAGGTTTTTTGATAGTGTTGAGTATGTCCATGATTCCTTCATCATTAATTTTATTCTGAGAAATGTCCAACGCACGAATCTGCGAATATGGTAATCCTAAACTTAGTGCTCGGGCACCTAAATCTCTTATACCATTTCCGGCTATGTTTAGTAAAACTAATTGAGGGCATTCCCTTAGATAATCCGCCAATATTTCGGCTCCATGGTCACCAATTTTGTTATAGCCTAAATCTAAATAGAGTAATGTATTATTCCGTTTCAGCCCTCTTGCAAGGTACTCCATGTCGTGCGAGATGAATTCATTTTTCTGCAAATGTAATTCAATTATAGAAGTATTCCTTTCCAATAAATATTCAATATGGTACGCAAGCCATTTCGTTTCCAATGAATAACGATTAAAAACCGGAACAATTCGACTAAACTCGAAAACTTTTACAGTTTCATTTTTACCATGATCGTGACGTAACGCTGTTATTACGTGGGCAACACTAGTAAGCGTCTGACTTGTTTCACCAATATCGAGGTACTCTACACTTTTATTATCTCTCAAAAACTTTGCAATGTATTCTCCTCCTTTGGTTCCAATTTCATTTCCGTTTAATCGTAAATATTTCAGTTTTATTAACGGCGCGTATAAAGCTAAATATTGCATCGAAATTTCACTCAAATTATTATTCATTATATTTAAGTTAATAACACTCGATCGTGACTTCACCAATAGCTTTTTAAGTAACTTGCAAAATCCAACATCAGTGATTTCATTGTAACACAAATCGAGTCTTGTAATCCACCGCGGTGATTCCCGCACATAAAGACAGATGGCTCTGATGTCCTGATCTTGAATTCGTCGTTGATACCTGTCGTAAATATCTTTGCCCCTTAAAACCAAGTAACCAGAGCCGTCAGAGTTTCTTTCCGTAAAAAGGTTCAGGCGTATTTTATTTAGTTCTGTGTCTTCTAGCAACTCTGGACTACCAGTAATTTGACCCAGTAACCTTTCTGTGTCACAAATGCATCGTTTTTTACGATTCCTATGATCTCTCTTCACTACTTGTGTTACCACTATCGGTTTCGTCTCTACGTTATTAACAACCATTTCTTTTAACAGAAATTTAAAACAATTTTGTGAATAATTTATAAATAATTTATTGAATTTTATTCATTCTATACTGCTATGATATGTCAGAAATGTGTGTCAATTATTTTACGTCTGACAAATGAAAACTAAAATAGATACTTCAAAGAGATGGCGTTTATAATACTGAAAAGATTGTTATGTTTGAAAATATCTTTGTATCTATGACATTAATTTCATTATGGAGAACATATGGAGAAACTTCTTTTTTCAAAAATAAAATCAAAGAACAATAAACTATTAATGTTCAAAGCCCAAAATATAAATGTTTGCCGTAAAAATTCAAAAATTTCGTGTGTCCCCAATCCTCGCCTGAGAGGAGACCCGTACCCAGCAGTGGAACGTATGAATGGGTGAATGAAATTTTTAAGGAGTTTAAAGGTATAATTTAAACACCACATACCGTCATCCTCAGTTGTACGAGTGACTTTAGATTTTGGAATAAAATAACTTTAACAGTTTTAAAGCAAAAGGCGAAGTATTTAATTATTTAGAAATAAACATATAATAGTCCATTTGTTTATAATTGCTAAATATTTATATTTTGTATTTGAAGATAGGTAAAAATCAATATATAAATGTAATATTTCATTAAATAGACATCTAAAGATTGTTTACATTTAGTGAAGTACCTAAACAAATGGACTTTAGTCAGGTACACGATATTGTCCAAGATGAGCTTATTCTTTAATAAAGATACATAGAGTGGCACCTGTAGTAGCCTAATAAGAATACATGACTTCAGTACGTATATGGGTACATAGCTTTTGTTCTGATCACAATGCTCTGGTCACACAGAGGCATGAGCGGGAGCGTTCCGCAGGCGCGGGAATTTTGGTAATGTTCGACTTCCTATGAACCCTGCCTGAAGCCGGCGGCGGCGGGGAGGGTGCCGTCCGCTATGACAAACAGGCGGACCGGGAGCGCATCGGGCGTGTGCTTCGGCACTCAGTACGTATATAGGTACATAATTTTTGTTCTAATGCTCTGGCCACATAGAGACAAGAGCGGAAGCGTTCCAGGCGCTGGAATTTTGGTAATACTCGACCTCTTATGAACCCTGCCACATTGAAACCGGCGGCGGCAGGGCGGGCGCCGTCCGGGGCGAACGCTATGACAAACAGGCGGACCGGGAGCGGACCAGGTGCGTACCGAACGCGGGGCGGGTGCGGGCGCGGTCCGGTAGCGAGGTTTCGGCGGGACTTTAGCAGGTTTGGATGTTGTGTTTTTATTAAGTTTCAATTTGAATTCGACCGAATTTGAATGAATTTCTTTTGGGTTGCTTCCGTTGTACTAATAAGAGGCAGACAATTTTCTTGATCTTTATCCGAACACCCATGTGGTGCTTTCATTAAATTTGTGTAGAAAATGAAACGTGGCTACTTTTAGCGTCATACTGGCCGCCTTCGCTCCGCTATTCCGTCGCGAATTACGCTTGGCAATGCTGTGTGGCAAGCTCCGGTACGCATATGCTTCTCGCTGGTTCGCCCCGTGACCACTTTTCCCGCTGTACCACCTGCGTGGCCTGAGCTGGATACACGTCAAAAATATACAACATAAAATAATCTACTTAATACTACATTAGCTTACACAAACTTTGGTATCAAGATAATATCACAGAAAATAAGTTAATTAAGTACAATAAATATGACTAGACGGCATATACGTAAAATTAACAAAATCCTCCATCTTGTCATGGCGCTATCAGCCATTATGAACAAACCGTACGGGGCGTACGCAGTCACGCTTCCAACCAGTTCGAGTAAACTTAAAGGAAAATTTTAATTAAGCTTTTGTTTTTATCGGTGTAAGAAAAGGACAGAACTTGTTTTTGTTTTCAGTTCTTAACTTGGCTTCCGTAAACTCTTCCATAGTCAAACTTAAGTTAAAATTTTACAGGTCCAAAGTAAAATTAAATATTCAACACTAAGTTAATTAAAATTTGACGTCTTTTGTATGCCTTTGTTGAAACGACACTATCTATCTAAATACAGTTTAGAGGATGGAAAAAAATAAAAGAAAGGAGCTGCCTTAACTACAGAATCAACGTGCATATAACCAAAATTTGAAAGTTACAAATGTTGTACCATAATCTATCGATAAGTCATTATCGACATGCAAATGTATGGCTCGAATGTGGAAACTGTTTTTTTTGGTTCTTTAGTTTACTGTAACCAAAGTATGCCTAAACAAACACAAGTCTAATAATTTAATCTCGAGTGGTATATTATTATAAGTGTCAATACACATTTTTAAACTTTTAAAAAAACTTATCTTCAAGATTACAACTGGTAACTTATTTATGAAAAGTCACCAAACTGCTGTGCAGTTTGTTGGCGACATGCGCATTCTTACTTAATTATACCTACTTCACTGGTATATAACATTACATAGTATTAATTGTACTTACTAAATAAAGTATAAAAATTACTTTAAGAGGTACGCCTTCAACCTACATTTTAGTACATATTTACATATCGTCTTTTAACTAACTCTCAAGTACAAGTCTATTTCTGCGGATTCTAGTATTCACGTTACTGGCTTTCTTAAACAAATCAATCTATCAAGCAATTTTAACTGGTAACTTATTTAGTAATAGTCGCCAAACTGTTGTGCACCTTTGAACACTATTGGCCGAGCGCCTTTGATTTGTGATATGCCAAATGAACTCTATACACGTTGGCGCTCGCCTTCACTCGGTCAGCTAGGCGAGTGACACCGAACGATGGCAAGGCTTATATAAATAGGCTGTCTATACGTTGGTAGTGGCCTTTCCCAATCTTTCACATTTGCCATTGGTTAGAGTTGTCATTGGGAAAAATCAGAAACGAGTGGATAATTTTGTTTTCAGGAACTGAAAATAACTAGTAAATGCATTGACTTACAATTATATGGACGTCGGGTCCGCGCTAAAAAGTGTCCGAACTTATAGGGCGTTAAAATCGTATACAGAGTGTCATTCACGCTTTAGTCTTCGTTTGTTTCTTCTGACAGCGAAGCAAGCAAAATTAGACAGTACTGCGATGACATTACAATTTAAATTCAACGTTTTAGCTTTTTCATATTCCTTTAAATGTCACTACTTTTAAATAGGTTGACTTGGGACATTTTTTTCGTGGCTTTTGTATTAGACCCGTCGTCCATTTATTTGTAAGTCAATGAGTAAATGAGTCTTGTTTAGTCTAAATTGAACATAAAATTATTTACCAATAAACCTAATGATGGAATAGCATTGTCATGTAATCTAGTTACATCCAAAGTTCTGTTAAAATTTGACTCTTCAAAATGAAGCAAACAAATAAAGATGGTCTTTGATCCAACGTTTATATTCGGCAGTCCTATGATTTCCAACCATTCTTTCTTCCTTTTTTCATTTGTAGGAAAACTTGAAATAATAAAAATAATAATAATAAAACAATAAAAACCTCGTAGTGAATTGTTTTAATAATACAATATCGATAATATGTATGCTTACAAGATCAACACTATCTCAAAATAATCGTTAACAACAATCATCAAAATATACAAACAAACAGGCAATCTGAAGTAACAAAAGCAAAATTTGGCAAGATTTATAAATAAACTACTTAAATAAGTCTAATTACATGAAATATTTGGGCTATTGTGTGATTTATAGACAAAAAATAACACAAGCCTGTGCAATGTAACATTCGATTGATTTGCACTTTTTCTAAAGCCACATCCCTTAATGCTGTAGTGTCGCATTTTTATTAATAGGTACCTAATTATTCTCACTGTCAATATTTTTGTCCAATTTAATTATAATACATGCGAGTAATTCAATTGTACATTTGGAAAAACATTTGTTTTGACTTTTGATGTACTTCCCTTTAACAACGGTGTCACGTCATGTACCTCATGTACTGCGAAATGGATACGGTTGGCATTTAAGATGATGTTACGTATTTTCAATTCCCGTGTTTGACACAGACCAATGTAATGCTATCTCTTTTGGCTTAAGACGGCACGTAATTGTTAAACAAAGACAATAACATGTTTAAGTTTTCGACGTCGAAATGCATCATATACATATAACGTCTGATTTATATATGTCAACGTAACATGTCCGTTAGTTTCCATAGTCTAAGAAATACAGTGACTAGTTACTCGACTACAGCGAAGCCTGTTATGAATATTGGAATATCATTATATACTTCACAAACATTTAAGACAAAAAAAACATGAACTAACAATCTATGCACACGGCGAATTTTTTACGCGCAGATGACGCGCGTACGAGGCGCGAGAGTGGCTCAATAAGCAGATTGTTTCTTTTGTATGTCAACAAATCTTCCGTCTCTTCAGCCGTGGGACGAATAATACGAACGAATTGCGAAGCTTCTAAAATGATTCACTTGCGATGTAGCGTGATTAGTAACTACCACCGAATTCCCGCGTAAGCCTTGAACCCACACCAATCTTGGCATTATGATGAACCTACTGTCCAGTTTATTGTGAAATTCAGATTATAAGTACTGTTATCTAATTTATTATACATGAACTAAAGTCGATAATTCGTATACGTAAAAAGTCGAAATTGATATACGGTTTCAATTTTGAGAAAAATGACACTATGTGTTGGATTTTGCATTCGGGATCGCATTCGGTTTTAGGCATTTCGGATTTTTTTTTTCATTAGGTCGGAAAGGTTTATTGGGAAAAATTTTGTGCTCTCCAGTTAGCTTTCGACCTATATTATACCTACTTACACTCTTGTTTTTTGTAGATTTTTGTTTTGATAAATAAGTAGACTTTAGTGTATGGACATAGAAAATTGCGGCTTTGGCGAAATGCCCATATATTAAACTATATAAACGTGTACGAGAAATGCGTTTGAAACTCATCTGTATCGCCACAGTTTTATAAGCCATGCAGTTACGCAACGAACGTATTTGCGCAGTGTAACGGCGGGGCACTCGAGGGGAGTCGGGCGGCGCGGACCGCTTCCTGCAAACACGGTAGCGATGCGAGATTGCGTATCATTCGGTATTCGACTCGTAGTAATTACCTAATTACTAATCCTGTCATTCAAAATTTCGAATTACAACTTAGTAACCTACTAATGTTCGCATTTGAAAGATCATTCATTACTAATTAGAAGCTAATTAGTATTATTAATCAATAGAGCATTTCTGCCTAGTCCTCTCTGACATATCGCCCTGTTAATACAATAGTATATTAACTCAAAAGATGTATATTTTTAGAATCGATTAAAAACGAATTAGTCATTTCTCGTGAAAGTTTATTAAAATGTACGTATGAGTTAAATTTTAATACAGCCATCTAAATAATTTTCTACTTGCCAAATATATTTACAAATAAAAAGGAAAAAATAATTTAATATTATAATTATTAATACACAGATCGAACACTCAGAAAAAATTCTTCGATCCGGCCGTATTCGAACCGACGTCTTCTAGCATACCGTGCCGGACGCTATACCAACCCACCTCACCACCCCAGTTAGATACCTTTACAGCTACCAGCCCCGGCTAGAGATGTCGCTAATCATTGTATTAAAATTTTTATTATAAAGTAGAAGTACAGCACATAAGTCATTTTTACTTGACATTGACGAATTCATCGTTTGTTTCGATGGAGCCATAGCATTTAAAAGAAGAAGAAGATTGAATTAATATTCAATTATTTTTTATGTGAAATTACTCCACTGGTATGTTATAATTATTAATTAATATTATATATAATTTCACATAAAAAATAATTGAATATCAATTCAATAATAATTTAATTTAATATTTTTGTGTAAGGACTGTTTTGTACAGAACTAGCTAACGAAAACTTTGTCTCATTTTGAGTTAAGTAGATATTATATTTTAATTGTTTCTTACAATATTCTAACGACGGTTTTACTGACGTGCAAAGAATCAAATTTTACGTTCAGCAATAGTATAATCTGGAATTTCACATATTTAGAGTTACAACACTATTGTAATAGCAGTGCGATATGGTAAATACTGTTACATAAGTAATAAGTACCATCACGCTCACGGGCGGCAGTATCGCCGAATATCAAAGACGTTGCGCTACTGTGAGGAAGATATTGTAACACTGTGGTATCACCATACAGTGTGTGTACACGCGTAGATGACGCCCATTTTGTGCAAAGGTTCATTTAAATCGCGTTAACGCGCGTCGTCTGCAAAATACCCCACATGCATAGGCTCTAACCGTAATTATTTAACCAATTTTCAAAGCCATCAATTTAGATGACTTGGTGTCCTCCTGCACACCTGGGAAGACGTATCCTCGCTTGGCCAGCTCATCGTAGGTAATCTCGGAGAGGGTTTCGAAGCCCGCCTGAAAACAAAGAGGAATGGGATACATTGCAGTGGTATACTTGGTTTATAAGCCTCGTGTCCCCACCCTCTTGTGCTGTACGTGCACCCGGGGCCGCTCCCCGAGGCACAAGCGTTTTGAAAACCGGATGAAGTACGTGACAACGGTCTGTAACAAACCTGATGCTAATAAGGTCCCTGTGCTTAGACAGGTTACGCGTATAGGGCACTATAAATAAAACTTATGTAGAAATATGCGGAACGGTCCCCTACCTCTAGGAAGTCAAAGACAAAGTCGAGACCTATTATTCAGATTCTGTGTTTTCACCCCAAGTTCTAATTTACCAATTAATCACTGTTTTTAATTGGCCATTTTATGATAAATGGAAAATAAAATTTGACAAAATTCCATCTTTCGCTACATACGATTTGCAAAATATTTTATAACATTTTTTTTTACTAAATTAAACTTCTTAAGTAAAAGTAAAAAAAACACATTACGCAAGTCGTACGCAGCGTAAATTGGATTGTTCTTTGGTACAGGGTCAAGAGCAAGTAGCACGTAACGTAACTTTGATCATCGAGTTTCGGCAACTGGCAACCCGCAACTAGCTATTTATGGCGTTTTTCATATAATTTCTTATACCTCTATGATTACTAACGACTACACAGCCGAAAAATCAATGTTTCCGGCGCATTCAGGCAGATTCTAGCGCACACGGGTGGATGTCGGCGCATACCAGTGGATTTCGGCACATACCAGTGGACTCCGGCGCGTACCGCTGGATTCTGTCGCATATCGGCGCCTCACGTCGCGGTATCCTCTAGCAGGCAAGGTCGGTCTCACAGCATTCAATTTTATACCTTATTTCAATTGTACATTGATAAATTTAACGTACTCTGCCTTCCGTTTCTGGCTTTGTTTTGATAAATTCAAAGATTCCATTATAGTGTTAACTTCGTTGTTTACTGGTGGCGCCACCGCCACCCGCACATGAAGCCCTCGTTCATAATTGATTTTTTCATAGTTATAATTACGAATTCAAGCTAAATAAAATGATAAATAATTATATAATTACTCACAACCCTAAAATTCTTATAATGATTTATGTAAAATAATTATAAAACGCCAACTAGTTTCAGGTACAAAATTAATACTTCATCCTAAAATTTATATTCTTGTTTAGCACTGATAGCTTGATGATAGTTTGATGTTGTGTCCAATTTATTATTAATTCCAAATACATGTTATACAATACATTATCAATTCCAAATACAATACGTAGTTCCTCGTCAATGTACTAATAAGAATTAGAATTTTAGTATCTAATTGATTTTTACAGGGGAAAAGTATCTATAAATACGAGTTGGCGCCATTTTTACAAAATTACTCTTGTTCGTCATTTTGCACCGTTTTTATTACAATAGTTAAAGAAGTAGTTGTGTACCTTTTTGGCGGCTGCTTGCGAGGCGCCAGCTGTGAACACTGTGGCTGTCACTTTTAGACCAAGAGCTTTGCACAAAGGGATTCTGAAAAAAACATAGGAGTTTTAAAAATGGTAATAAATATACTTTAGTATCGAGTTCTTAGGTTGTCGCCATTGTTACACATAGGAAATGAAACTATATTTCCAGATTTAAATCGCGTATATTTTTTTTACATACAAACAATACAAACAGACATAAAACTGTAATACCAACTAATATGTTTTAATTTATTCTAAATTCCATTATTAATTAATAATAAATTTAACTTAATAAATATTCATATTGTTAAAATAAAATAATTTGTAAAACATAACGTAGCGTAAATTGGAATGTTTATATTGACGTGGTCGAGCGGCTTGCACACCGGTTTTCATGGTGTGGCCATCTCAGAGGTCCCGGGTTCGATCCCCGGCCGGGTCAGTGTAGAAAACTAACTTTTCTATCGAGTTCTTAGGTTTTCGCGATTGTTACACATAGGAAATGAAACTATTTTTCCGCATTTAAATCGCGTATATTTGTTTTTTCAAACAGTCAACCGTGACCATGGGACCTGTAAAGGGCCCGCAACGTCAGTTTGTTTGAAAAAACAAATATACGCGATTTAAATCCGGAAAAATAGTTTCATTTCCTAACTTTTCTATATTGTCTCGGGTCAGGGTGTTTGTGGTACCATCGTTCCACACCCTCCCTCACCCCTTCTATTCAATTTACATATGAATGCGCTGCCGCTGGTAGAGGAACTTGGCAGCAAGTAGCTTGGTTGTTTTATTGCCGACGTATGTGTCAATAATTTCAGCTACGCGGACGATATGGTGCTGCTGGCACCTTCAGTTGGCGCAATGAGAAAGCTACTTAATATATGTGAGTCCTATGCGGAGTCACATTGTCTAGCTTACAATGTTAAAAATACAGTATACATGATCTTTAAGGCGGGAAATGAGTGCCCTACTTTTGTACCAACCGTGTTACTCAACGGTATTATCTTAAAAGAGTGAAATACTCATTTATGTTAATTTAAATATCTTGGGCATTTGGTGACAGAGGATCTTAAGGATGATGCGGATATGGAAAGGGAGCGCAGGACTTTGTCAGTTCGGGCGAACATGTTGGTTTGAAGGTTTGCTAGATGTACGGATTCAGTGAAGATAACATTGTTTAAGGCATTTTGTACATCACTGTACACGGCAAGTTTGTGGTTCAAATATATCAAAAAATCGTACAATGTTCTACGAGTCCAATTTAATAATGCATTTAGGGTATTGTTGCAGCTCCCGCGCTTTTGCAGGGCTTCGGGCATGTTCGCAGATGCGCGCGTGGACGGCTTTGATGCAATCTGGCGAAAGAAAACTGCCTCGCTGTTGAACAGAATGCGCGGGAGTTGTAACGGCATCTTGAAAACGATAGCTGATAGACCTGATTGCCCGATGTATACACTCGCACAGAGGTCAATTTCATTGTTAGTTATTAAGTATTAATCTAGGATAAGCTCTATAAACATTAAAATGGACCTTAAATGTTGTCTGAAGTAAATAAATTATTATTATTCATCTCTTTCACAAGGCGCGAAGACATACGTTTTTTACCGAACAAGCGGCGTCTAGTGTTGAAGTATCTTTTGGAAGGAGGGCACGCATAGTTTTATAAATACAAAATGAGCGGCGAATCTTCTGTGAACAAAGATTATAGTTATCTTTAGAGGAACAGAGGCCCGTTTTTTTATCATGTATCAGATTTTCGTACAATTTTTCAAATGTGTTTGTACGCAGTGCGTCTTGATTCGTTGCATGAACCTAGTACCTTCTGTTCTTCCGGCGTCAAAGTTGGCGTCTTCAATGCCAATATAAAAGTGAAACAAAGCGTGGATCCATCACAGACGTGTTCTAAGGGCGACTGCTGTGAACACTGCGTCTATCCGTCTTTTAAACGCAGGAAAGTATATCGTGTGAACACCCACAAAAAAACGTGCAGGACAATGCCGTGTGTACGAAGGCGTATAAGTTGGTTGATGTCGATGAAGTCTATATGGAGGCTGTTAATATTTTCCATCAGGTCCGTTTTGATTGTTTGCCAGTTTGTATACAAAAATTTTTAGTTTTGTCCTTATAGAAGAAAAGAATCAATCTCATTCCGATTAATATAACCCTATAAATACTAGAATCTCATTTCAATGAAACCTCATTCCTTAGCCGCAATAAATGCGATCAAATTCCTTGCAAACAGCCCTCAATATTCCCGGTACTCAACGAGAATGCAGCGGGAATTTATCCCGGGATGGGAATTCTTCCTGAACGTGAAGGATGGCGTAATTAAAAACACTTAGCTCTTGCTAGATATGACGACGTAGATTGAAGCGTTTCTTACTTTGACGTAGTGTACTCAAGACTTAATGGGTTCAGCGATATTTTTATGCCTATTGCTTAATTAAATCTAGCCTAAAACGAGTTTTTGGATCGGTATTTCCATTTTAAGACAAAATGGATGAAATAGCTGGAATAAAGAGTTTTTTATAAATATAATGGACAAAATAAAGAAAATAAAAAACAGATGCTATCATTATTTTTATTTCATCATTTTTATCTGTTTAAAAAAACATTTTTCAAATAATTAAATTTTTAATTAATTGATATTCAATTATTTTTTGTGAAATTACTCCACTAGTTTGTTATAATTATTAATACAAAGATCGAACACTCAGAAAAAACACTCAGAAAAATTCCTTTGATCCTGTCGGATTCGAACCGACGTCTTCTTGCATACCGTGTCAGACGCTATACCAACTAAGCCACGGAACGAACCAACGGACCTCACGAATTTTTCTATGTGCTTGCGTCGTGTCTTTGTACTTGGTCTTTCAACGACTTTTTAGTCGTAGCGCCATCTATGAGAAATCTATCGCAGATTTATCACCCAGTTAGTACCTTTACAGCTACCAGTCCTGGCGAGAGATATCGCTATTCACTGTATTAATTAAATTTTTATTGAATTGATATTCAATTATTTTTTGTGAAATTACTTAAATTTTTCAAATATTTATTTTATATTTTATTTCCATTTCTATATTACTGTTTAGATGTTTTGACTTTAACGTTTTATTGTCGCACCGCGAACGAAGCTAACTTAGGTTGGCTCACGTACTTGCATGCATTTACTAGCCCAGTAATTAATAAAACGAAACCCTAACCGTTTGTCTTCCATCCAAAGTTCAGATGCACTAAAGTAATACGAGACCATAGATGAGTTCTTGTATCTTGGGTCAGTAATCAGCAACAGAGGAAACAGTGAATCTGAAATACGCATCAGTATGGCAAAAACTGCCGCATGACGCAACTTGCAAATGTATGGAAGGAAAGAAACATTCGCAACAGAACAAAGACACATATTGTTGGCACGCTAGTCTTCTCCACATTTTTGTATGGTGCGGAAGCCTGGACGCTTAAAGCTGACAGACAAAGAATTGACGCTTTTGAGATGTGACGCAGAAGCGCTGATAGTCTCGAGAGTGTGATTGTTACAGGCAGGACTGAGGGCAAACGACCTAGAGGTAGAAGTTCGAAACGATGGTGTGACCAGCGTCCTGATTTTCAAATCGGGATCGATCCGATCGGGTAGTCTCGAAATCAGATTGGTTTCTGAGCGAGAAGATGAACCTGATTTCTATTATATCTTTCTGATTTGTGAGTGAAATCACCTATTGCTCCGATTAGAAATGTTAAAAGTTTCCGATCGGCCAGTTGTGAATCGCAATTATGCGCCTTGACTCGGAAAAGACGTTGTTTCCGATCGGGAGAGGCAATCCAAATCAAGCTGCAAGTGGCTGAAGATTTATTGACGATGTACTTGATCCAAGTTACGATCCTCAGCAGTGATGAACCGACGGAGGAGTGACGTGAGAAGGGCGGCAGAAGGACGACATATTTTACACGGCTTAGCTTCATTCGCGGTGTAGCTTGCGACTGTGTGGTTCAGGGTGACGGACGCAGTGGCAGTGCCCCTCAGATCTTTAAAGGCTATGAGTGGCATTACAAAGGATCTTAGGACTCCTGTTCTCTACCTCTCGGTTAGAGTATTCTTTATTTAGGTCTATTTTTCACATAGCATCTGTGTTTGTACAATAGGGAGTAATTTAAAAAGTTAGTGTTTTCATGTGTGTGTGTATGTGTGTGTGTGTGTGTGTGTGTGTGTGTGTGTGTGTGTGTGTGTGTG